TCCTTCTGCCCCTTCCTTATTCCTCCTCCTCCGCTCTCATCGACCGGTCGACCGGTGATCTGTCGCCAAGCTATGGGCCAGGAAAAATGCAGCGCTACAGCGCCATGTTGCACTATGCTATGGAACGCCATGATATGCCATGCTACGCTATAAAGCGCAATGCCACTATGCAAAATGCAATGCAATAACATGATATACCGTACAGTGCGCATTGCATGCCATGCCATGCTGTGCTGTGAAATGCTATGGTAATATGTTGGATGATACGCTGAGCCATATCATGCGATGTTTCCTATGGAGAACGATGCTACCGCGTTACACGGTATGCACAGACACGGCATACCGTGCTATTCAATGCAATGCAATGCTATGCCATGTTATGAACTGCTAGGCTAAAATAAACAGGACGACAGTAAGAGCAACAACGGGGGGGTGATATTTGTATGGTTACGGTTTACTCTTGCGCAGAGCAATACGGTGCTGTTCGAGTAATGTATGCGCATTGGAATGCCATAATACGCCACGGTGCGTCATGAGATGCCATGCCATGCTGGGCAATGTTACGTCGTGACTTGCAGTGTTAGGCTCAGCTAAACACTGCTATGGAATGCAATACTATTGTATGCTGAACCATACTGTGATATGCATTGACACGGTTAGCTATGTCGTGCTGTGCCGTGCCATGCCATGTCATGCAACGCTGCGATGCCACGATAGGCTAGGCGGTCCTTTGCTATGCACCGGTATGTTTTGGAGGCCGTTTGGGGTGCTCTTGGGGCCTCTGTTGCGGCCTCTTCGGGGCCTCTGGGGCCTCGTGGGGCACCTAGGGGGCCTCTGGGGGGCCTCTTGGGCTCTGTTGGGGGCCTCTTGGGGCCTCCTGGAGGCCTCTTGGGGCGGAAGGCTCGAATTGTCGGTTCGTGTTCCCCCTCTTGAGCCCCTCTTGGGGCCGTCTTGGGGCCCTCTTGGGCGATCTTGAGCGCCTCGTGGGCCGTCTTGGGGGGCGCGCTTGGGCCGTCTTGGGGCTCTCTTGCGCCGTCGTGGCGCCCTTTTTGGGTGTCTCTTGGGCCGCGTTGAGCTGATTTCTGGGCCCTCGTGGGCTGTCTTGGACAGTCGGAAACACGAAACAGCGAGAACACGAAAAACCTTCAAAAACCATCGAAAATAACACTTTGTTCGCCTCCTGAGTGCCTCGTGGGAGTCCTTTTGAGAGCATCTTGGCCGTCTTGAAGCACTCTCGGGCTGTCTTTAAGCCATGTTGGACCAATTCTGAAACGCTCTTGTGCGGTCTTGGGCTCTCTTAAAGCGTTCTTGGGCCATCTTGGCGCCCTCTTGCCCCCTTTGACGTTGTTTGGCGCCCCCCGCCGAGCCCGAAACGGCCAGAAGATAGATCAGTGCACTTTGGGGTGCCCGGGACCCCCTATCCATTATATATATATATATATATATATATATAGAGAGAGAGAGAGAGAGAGAGAGAGAGAGAGAAAAAAAAAAAAAAAAAAAAAAACAAAAACAAAAAAAAACATCGCGCGCGCTTCGCGCGCGCTCAAGATCTAGCTAGGCTTGATCGGCCAACTCATGTAATCTCATTTTGGTCGCTTCCTGCGTCCAGGGACTCCCTTGGAGGCCCTGCGCAAGCCTCGGAATCGTATAGAAGGGAAATGCGGAAACGCAGAAATCATTAATTCATTTCCTTTCGGTATTCAACGATCTGGGGCCCTCAAATGCTTCCTGGGTTTTTTGGGGGAGGTGACGGGGTCTGAATTGTGGTGTGTTGTGCGAGAGTAGACCGGGGGCCAAACTTGAAAAACAAGAAAAAGGAATTGTGGGATGTCCATTTTTTCCAGTTCCTCGGCGTCGTTCGGCGCTGTGTTTTGTTTGTGCCTCGTGGGTTTTGTTAGCCCGGCTCCTCAGGGGTGTTGGTTCTTCCAGACCCCCTGGGGGTTCTGGAGGCCTCCTGTAGGCCTGGAGAGCCGTGTCTCGGGCTGCGCGGGAGCGTGTTGGGCCGTTCTTTATGCTCTGGGGGCTCCTTAGGGTCGTCTTGGGCTGTCTTTGGGCGTCTTGGGGGCCCCCCGGGAAGCCGGGAGGCGCGGTACTGGCCAAATGTCAGGGGATGTGCGGGATCTCCGAGTCAGAGTCCCACTATATATATATATATATATATATATGGAGAAAAAACAACAACAAAAAAACAAAAACAGAGAGAGAGAGAGAACAATAACAAAAAAAACACAACAAACTGGAATTCTGGGAATTCCCTTTTTTCCCAACCCTCCTTGTGTTGGGTACTCGTTTTGAATAGAGCACTGTGGTATCCACCTCCCGCCCTCTCCTCCTTCTTCTCTCCTGTGTTCGCGGTGCCCTGCTGGGCTGCGATCTGCGCAACTGTCGCCACTTTCGTGGGCTCCTGGGAGGCCCAGCGGAGGTACGTCCTACGCGGACCACTTTGAGGCCTCCCTGTCCCCTGCGGGGCTGCGATCTGCGCAACTGTCGCCACTTTCGTGGGTTCCTGGGAGGCCCAGCGGAGGTACGTCCTACGCGGACCACTTTGAGGCCTCCCTGTCCCCTGCGGGGCTGCGATCTGCGCAACTGTCGCCACTTTCGTGGGTTCCTGGGAGGCCCAGCGGAGGTACGTCCTACGCGGACCACTTTGAGGCCTCCCTGTCCCCTGCGGGGCTGCGATCTGGCAACTGTCGCCACTTTCGTAAGTTCCTGGGAGGCCCAGCAGAGGTACGTCCTACGCGGACCACTTTGAGGCCTCCCTGTCCCCTGCGGGGCTGCGATCTGCGCAACTGTCGCCACTTTCGTGGGTTCCTGGGAGGCCCAGCGGAGGTACGTCCCACGCGGACCACTTTGAGGCCTCCCTGTCCCCTGCGGGGCTGCGATCTGGCAACTGTCGCCACTTTCGTAAGTTCCTGGGAGGCCCAGCAGAGGTACGTCCTACGCGGACCACTTTGAGGCCTCCCTGTCCCCTGCGGGCGCACCTGTCGCACCTGTCGCACCTGGCGCCCCCTGGCGCAGTGGACGCCCAAAAGGCAAACACGCCAAAAATATCAGTTTCCCCAGAGGAAATCTACGATTTTTGCTTATTGGGATCCCCGATCCTCATCGTTCGCACGCCATGTTCCGGAGGAGCGTTCCTGGAGCACGGGGCGCCAGAGGCCCCCCCGCTCTCCCCCCCTCCCTGACTATCCTGCCGAGGAACTCTTGGGTTGCGCAGGGCCGGTCTCGCGGGCTCCCTGGGGCTTCCTGGGCCCGCCCAGGGCTGTTTGGGAACGGACCTGGAGGCGCGCTGGGCCCCATTGGAGCGTCGGAAAGCCGAACAGACAAGAAGGCCAAGATCCTCCAATTCCTGAGTAAAACGAACGATTTTGGCCTGTTGGGACCCTCTTGGGGGGTGCTCCTGGAGGCGTCCTGAGCCATGTTTGAAGCCTCTTGGGAGCTATCTGAAGCCCCCTGGGGCTCTCTTGAAGCGGAAGCCCTGGGTTTTCCGAGCGCGGTCCGTCTCTTGGACACCTTTTGGGCCTGTTTGGGGCCCTCGTGGGCGGCCCTGGGCGCTTCTTGGGCCAGCCTTGGGCCCTCCGGGACCGCCTCGGGGCGGCCTTGGGCGCTTCTGGAGCTGTTTGGGAGCGGTCTCGGAGGTCTCCTGGGCCGCCTAGGAGCGTCGGACAGCCGCCGAGATCAGAAGGCCAACCCTCCAAAACTATTGAAAAAATCAATGTTTGGCCTGCTGGGGCCCTCGTGGGAGTGCTTTTGGAAGCGTTTGGAGCCATGTTGGAGGACTCTTGGGGGCCGCCTGGGGCCTCCCGGGTCACTGTTGAGGCAGGGGCCCTGGGTGTTCGGCACGCGGCCCCTCTCTCGGGCCCTTCTTGGGCTTGTTTTGGAGCCTTCGTGGGGGCTGTCGCGGGCGCTTCTTGGGCCAGCCTTGGGCTCTCCGGGGCCGCATTGGGCTCGTCTTGGGGGCCCCTGGGGCTGCTGGGGGGGGCGGACCTGGAGACCTCCCGGGCCGTCGTGGAGCGCCGTGCAACCGGAAAAAACAAAATGCCAAAATCCTTCCGAAAACCCCTGGAAAACCATCGATGTTGGCCTCCCGGGGCTCTCGGGGGAGTGTTCCTGGAAGCGTCTGGAGCCATGTTGGAGGGCCCATGAAACCTCTACCGCGTGCTTCGGCGACATGGGTCGAAGGTGGGAACCTTTCCTGGCGCTGAAACAGCACCAGGGTCCGTCCAAAGCCGCTCGGGAGACGCCCCGGAGCGGCCCTGGAGAAGCCGGGGGGGGGGGGGGGGCATGGCGACTCGATGCACCTGGCCAGAGGCCCCCAGCCCCGTACCCCAGCCTCGGAGCGTCTTGGAGGCTTCTGGGACCGTCTTGGTGTCATGACAGGCGTCTTGGAAGGCATCCGGAGCCAAGTCGCAGGGAAGGGGGCAGGGGGAAAAAGGCCAGAGAGCGCTGAAGGATACAAATACTGGAACCCTCTTGTGATTTTGTGGGGGGCCTCGTCCGGCCGCTCGCTGGGAGTTTGACGTAGCTTCTCGGGAGCCTCTGAACCTGTCGGGGGCCTCCTGGAAGCAGGTTCGAAGCATTTTGGGGGCCGATTTGGGGCTTCTCGGGGCCTCCTTTGGGCCTCTTGGGGGTCTCCTGGGGCCTCTTGAGGGGCCTCCTTGGGGCCTCCTGGCGGCCTCTTGGGGCGGAAGGCTCGAGCTTGCGGTTCGTGGTCCCCCTCTGGGCCCCCTCTTGGGCCCGTCTTGGGGCCCTCTTGGGCCATCTTGGGCGCCTCTTGGGCCGTCTTGGGGCCCTCTTGGGCTGTCCTGGGGCCCTCTTGGAAGCTTCTTGGGCCGTCTTGGGGCGGTCTTGGGCGCCTCTTGGGCCGTCTTGGACGCGGTGAAAGCCCAAGAGGCGAACATGCGAAAAATATACGTTTTCCCATAGGAATGGCACGATTTTTGCTTCTTGGGCCTCTCTTGGGCTGCCTCTCGGAGCGTCTTGGAGGCTTCTGGGACCTTCTTGGTGTCATGACAGGCGTCTTGGAAGGCATCTGGAGCCATCGGAGCGCGTTCCGAAGCCGCCTGCGAAGGATCTTGGACGGCGTCCGGCGGTCCGACGAGCCTCCGGGCCCCCCGGGGCCCACATTTGTGGTCGGGGTCCCGGCCCCGGGCCCCCGGACCCGGTGCGCCGTTATATGTACATACTCAGATTCGTATGCAGACGAACCCACCTGCAAGAAAGAACAGAGATCTCTTAGGATAAATCATACGATGCCGCTTGAAATTCGGGCCTGCGCCCCTGTTATGATGCCGACCTAACGGCGTCCGCCAAATTCTCGCTCGAGTATACGATATCGATTCAGAAAGTCATCCTGGGAAACGTAGCAGCCCTGCAACAAGCGTTTTGCATCGTCGCGTGGCCTGAAATATTCTTCTCTCGCATGTAACATTTGGCGATTGAGAAATACCACACACGTTCCCGGTTCCAATCTGAACCTCAACCTAGGACCCAACTCATTGATCTCCAGAGCCAAGGCTTTATACGCTTCCAAATAGGGAATAACATTTTCCGCCGACGTTTGCAAGGGGCCCTCACAAGGCGGAGACCAGTTCACTTGGACAATGTTTCCCAAGTCATCGACTACAATATGCGGGCGCCGAAACACCATGTGCTGTGACTTGTTATTCTTGTGGAATGTCGCATATACACGAGTTAACGTTTGAAAATGCTCTGGATGTTTTGCACGTAAACGGTGAGCAGCAGCAAACGCGTCTGCAAATAGAGAATAACCACCTTCAATGTCCGAATCGAACTCACGACAGTGGAGAAGCTGTATTCCAGGAGCACCTTCATAAGCAAGTAAGTCCATGTGTAGCGCCAACCCGAGTGGAGAATACGCGATGTTTTCCGGGTTAGCTTTAGCTTCTACCTTGAAGGTATCGCCGTAAATCGTAGATTGCACCGGCCCAATACGAGAGGCGATTTCGGTCACAATATCTTCTTGGTTGGGGACGCCAGTGACACAGACGACGCCGTTCTTAATCAAGTGCTTGAGAAAGTTGTATTGCACCTTCTTGATTTCATTCATGCCGCCTTCAAGTGATTCTGACGCAGTGGACTCTGTAGAGAGAGACTTAGCCAACTCTGCCTTCGAAAATAAATCTGCAAAGCGAACTTCCGCGGGATAATCCGTGCACAGCACAGCCTCTGGGTGATTTCCATACACACAGATAGGCAGTTTTTTCGATGCTGTAAGATCTGCGGCGGTTGGATGTTCTGTGCAAGAATATCTGTAATTCCATAAAAACTTAAGCGGATGATAACAGTCATGCGAGTCGGAATCCGAGCCCGAAACCACTGTGGTAACCAACGCCAGTTTGCTGATGCACTCGCTACATCCGCGTAAAATACTGTCCAAATCTACATGTGCTACTCTTCTCAGACCACAAGTTGCACTGGAAAGACTATCGGAGCTTTTACTGAAGTCCAAAACGCGGGATGATTTGCTGGAATCGAAGACCATATTTGCTCTATCATTTACGTCTACAACCTTGACTTGCTGGATCATCGGACCACACAATGCAGCGATTTCGGTTTCTCCCGAAGGTTTTGTTTTCTTGTTAGCAGAAGCTCCTGGCATAACATCCCATGGTAGAAACAGACGTTGCTCGGAAACATCGTGGCAACTGGAACACATACAGGTTGCGCGCAGCCAAGCTGCATGATAAAAAGAGTTGACGCTTTTGTATTCCGAGTCATCGCTTGCATTGACAAAGCGGATCATAACTCCTGGAGGACTAACACCTGCATCGTCGGTGTGATCACTATTTGATGTTGTCCCGGTACTCTTGGGCGTCTCCGTCGGTGCGCTTACTGGGGTTCCTTCATCTTTCGTGCGTCCAGAAAAATCGTGGCGGTCAGCCACCACAGCAATATCACTAGCGCTGTCATTGTCAGGCATGACGACAATAACTCTTTACTCTTGAAACACTGGACTGTGGCGCAACAGCGAAGAAGACCCAAGCTCCCGAACAATAAGAACTCAGAATATCCTTTCAGCCAAACTCGATTCAAAATCTGTTCCTACGGAGAAATGCCGATAGTGGAATATGAATGATAGAATTAGATTCGAGCCAAAACTACAAAGACCTCATTCTCGCATCAGTCGCCCAATACCAGAACAGAACTACTGGTGCTATACGCCACACTTCATAATTTACCAATGAAAACAGTTCGGATAGGCATGAACTGCACTCAGATAGGAAGACAATACGCCCACGACGCGCAACTGTCGCATATATACTGGGATGTGCACTGATCCTCTCAGAAAGGACGGTCTTGTCACTGCACTATCCCCTTTTCGCTTGATTTAGCTACTGCGCTTTACCGTACTACAGTGTCGTGCGACTCTCTGCCAGGGTATACGTCTACTGCGCTATCATCACGCCCTCTCCGAGTGCTTAAAGCAAAAAGAACCCTCGCTCGAACACAAAACGAAAACACCATTCTGTGATAAGAAGAGCACTCAACTTAGTTTGTTCTTCGAAAATTGTCATAAAGAATGCCACCTTGTTGTATTGCCACTCAGAAAGAATTACCAGAGTCGCGCATCACCACTCACACTTTGGTTTGGGTTTGCATCTACAACATCAGCGAAGAATGGAAATTAGAAAAAAAATGCATGAAGCTTTTATAATCACTAAAGGCTTTTGTAATAGTTAACGAAAGTGTTATAGCAATTATCCCAGAATACAAGTGTTTTAGCAATTATCCCAGAATACATCAGAGCGGAAGCAAGAATCAGAGCAACCTTCGTTCGTCGAATAATACGTCATAATAATCTTCCTGTATGGAGTTTTTTTTATTCCTGAACCTTTCAGATTCCCCCTGACCCTACCTAGACTTTGATTCCCCATCTGGCACCTCCGACAATTGTTTGACCCAGTGTTTCAAACTGTTAGAAACCTTCCTCTTCTTCCTTAGATTTTGAGGCACCGTCATTAACCTCCAACAACTGATGAGCCCAGGCTTCCAAACTTTTAGAATCCTGAACATGTCCCTTGAAGGTCGAAACTGCAAAGTTGTCGGTGCCTAACTTTTTTGCAACAACCACAGTTGGAAACGCACGAATTGTCGGAAAAGGCTGGGGCAGTTCCGCTCTCTGCTTATCAAAATCCATCTTTAAAACTTGGAACGACTTGAAATCTGGAGACTCAGCCCATGAAGCCCGAAGATTCTCCAAAGGCGCGTTGCAATTGTTCTTTTCCCCATCGTGAATAACGAAAAAGTGGCAGCGCGGACACCATGAAGCGTAAAAAGTGATCATCACGGGACCCTTCTCGAGCGCATCTGAAAGTTCCTCTGGCGATACTTCAGGAGTTTTCAGTTGGCACACGCGCTTCACCAAAGGCTTAAAAGACTTTTTGGGAGGGTCGCTGCTCGCAGACAGATTTACGCCTCCTTCATTGCCAATAGCATCGTCAATAGCTTTCAGATAACTTTCCTTCTCATCGATTGTGCACTGGTTTACCACAGGGTTCTTCCGTAATATCAGACTGTGAACAGTCTGGGCGAAAGAAGAGAAACGACAGTCTTCATATTCGAGGCAAACCAGTAATCAAAACTTACGATGGTATACAAACTGGAAATCACAAGATAAATTGGATTAGAACGAAAACTAAGGGACGGACGAAAAGAATCCTCTGCAAATATAGATGACAAGAATCCCCTGCAAATCGTCGCCTTCTTGGAGTTACAACATGTCAAATAGTCTTGATTCGGAGAAAAAAAGAGAAAAAAAAAAAACAAAACAAAAAACACACACAAAAAAAAAAAAAAAAAAAAAAAAAAAAAAAAAAAAAAAAAAAAAAAAAAAAAAAAAAAAAAAAAAAAAAAAAAAAAAAAAAAAAAAAAAAACTCAAATCAGTTCTCAACGGGAAGAGAGATATTCTCACGTGAAAGAGTCACAATCGATTATCCCAGAGCCGCGCCCATTGCCTGCTTGTGTGCTGGTAGGATCGTGGCCGGGCATTCGCAGCATATTATGACGTGAACGTCCGGTCGTAGCCTACGTGCGGTGCCCCATAGAAAAGGCACGGAAAAGAATTGCACCGCCTGGGAGCCCGCGAGTCCGCCAAGTCCCCCGTGTTGGCTGGCTGCAGAAAGACTGGCACCAGGGAGCCCAGCTGCGATAACAAGTAGACTTCCAGGGTCCAGGGTTCTGAGGTGGTCTGTCCAGGGACTTGGGCGGTTGTCTCCTCTCAGGAGGCCCCATGCATCAGCTCCCAACCTCACGTGCGGGGGGCCTCCATCAAAGCGTGTGGCGCTGTCCCGGTCCCAACGCCTCTCGACCCGACAAGCCGCTTCCCCGTTTATTTCGACGAAGGCGGAAGATCTGAACCGCGGAGTCGTGGCGACTTTGGCCATGAGGTCGCCCATCGCAAGTCTCGCCAGGCCCCATTCGTCGAAGAGTGATACGCGGTGGAGACCTGATCCCACGGCGGGACTCGGGCTGGGTCGAGGGTTGACTATGCGCGCTCTTGCCTGTTGGGTGAAGTCGTGCGTCCAGTCGTCCCCGTGCCTGGGATCAATGACTGGGTGGAGCCTAAGATGTCCCGCGATGTCCCATGCACCGTCGGGGGAACCGCTGGAGACAAGGCCGTCCTGCTGGAGGGCCCTTAGAATGCCGATGATCTGAGTATTGTCCAGACCTGCAATCTGGCACGCAACGAGCGTCGTGTCGGCCGGCGCGACTGGAGAGAGACCGGTTTGCCAGTCCCTGCGGCGCCCCCAAACCTGCTGCAGCACGTCGGCAGGCTGGGGGGCGGCCGTGGGCTCATCTGGTGAGAAAACAATTGGGCGAGGTCGCGGTCTGGGGATCCGAGTGCCCTCCGCACTCGCCGGTCTGGACGCCCGCCTTGCGACGCCCCGTCTAGCGCCACCGGTGGGGGGGCCCTCTCCTGCACGGGAGCGCTCCCAGAGGTCGACCAGAGTCCTTGGGTTGGGAGGTCTGCTGCCTGGTCGGGTGGACCTTTCCCTGCCACCGTTGCCCACAGCTCTGACGCGGGTCGCACCCCGTAGCGCGGTCCTGCGTGCGCCTTCATTCCTACCTCGGGGGGCCCGCTGTAGCGGGCTCCCGCGGGCTCTGTCAGCGGCGATGGCTCGGGTCTGGGTACTAGGTCCGACCGGCGGCGGCCCTGTCGCGTTGCTGCTGCGAGCGCGCCTGGTCACACCGCTTTTAGCTGTGCACCCAGCAGTTTCAGCCGGGGCACGCGCGGGTCTGGGCGCGCGGATGCGTCGGGCGGCGTTTCCAGTCCTGCGGAGGTTTCTTGGAGAGGCCTCTACTGTCTCACTCAGAACTTGGTCCCTGTCGTCGGTGAATGGAGCGCCGGCTCCCGCGCGCAGGATGGCGCGGAGCATGGCGGGCGCTAGGCTCTGAAAGGGGACCTCGGGCGCCGCCGCGTCGTCCAAGCGAGAGGCCGGGCTGCCTGCGAGTTGTCTCAATTGGGCGCAAGCCGCGTCAGCGGTCAGCGCCACACTGCGTGAGTGTATCCTCCTGCCGGCGGGGTTGCGCGTACCCGGAGGTGGATGGGTATTCCAATAGGCGCTGAAGGCGTCTGGGATTCGCGTTGCAGGTCCAAGCTCTTCGTGCAGGTCCCGAACGGTTCTGTCCAGCTGGGGTATCGCTGTAGCCCACGCTATCACACTGAGCACTTGGTTCCATTCATCGTCGGAGGGGGGACTACCTGGGCCATCGGAGGCGTGCACCTGCGCCTGTCTGAGCGTGCGCGCCATGGCTTCATACTCCCGTCCCCAGTCCACCTCCATGCACGGAGGTAGCTCAGGCCCGCTTCTCGGCGTGTCTCCTCGCCCCAGTGGGTCGTTACTAGAACTTTGCACCGTGCCTGGGGGCGGTCTCCTGCTCTGGGCTGTTGCCGCATCCGCGGGGACCCTTGGAGGTGAACTCTGACTGCCCGCCGCGCCCCCTGTGCAGGCAGCCCTAGCGTCCGCGGACGTGCACTGTGCCTCTTCTGTGCTGTCCAAGATCGTGGTTCCACCCCTCCCGATCATGCGCCGCTCCGTGCTGGTGCTTGCATCTGCTTGAGAGGTCCTCACATTTCCGGGGAGGTCGTCGGCGCGGCTCTCGAGAGGTCCTGCGGTGTCCAAAATATCTCCTTCTGCTGCTGCGGCAGAATTAGGTGGGGAGAGGACTTCAGCTACACCGAAGCGGACCGGGGCGAGCGACAGTGCCGGTCTCTCTCTGGGTGTCGAAAGGTTCGCTGGGGTCGCCCTCGGTGTGGTCTGGCTGATGCTAGCTAGCATTACGGCTTACGCCGTTGTCCACCTCTCCGTCGCCAGTAGGTCTGGCAAGGAGGGGGGGCGCCGAACTCTGCTCGGGCGCCGTCAGCCGCGCATGCGGTTGTGCTCCCTGTGCGGTCAGGGCAGGGCAGTCGCTAGGTCCAGGGCGGGGGCATGCGTTTGCCTGCGACGTCACCGCTGCGGGGAGCTCAGGGCTTGCCGGCGCGGCCAGCAGTCTAGCGCCTGCGGTGGCGGGCGGCCTCGCGTCGCCAGTTTGCGAGCCTGCAGCGTCCGTCTCGTTGTTCGCCCGGCTGCGGCTTCTGCGCTGGCTCGTACCTGCGTTGTCCGCTGGTCTGCCCTCCGTTCCTGCGGCTCTGGACGTCTGGGAACCTCCTCTCCGCCCCCGAGTGACTCTACCAGGGTCGTGGCGCTGCCGTTCCTCCCAGTGTAGGTTTGAAAGCCTATTGATCAGGGCCTCCAGGGCACCTATGACGTCTTCTGGGATAGAGAGCGCGGTAGTGGCGTCGACGTCTGCGCCTCTGGATCCAGGGACTTCGAGCCAGGGTTGGTGGGCTGAGTAAGTGTCGTCAGGCGCAGGCGCAAGCCACTGCGTGAAGGGGAGCTGCCTCGTGACCTCCTCTCGGATCCCGAGCTCTCGGATGAGCTGCCAGACGTGGTCACGGCCCAGGCTCCCCGGGCTGGCCAGCTGAAGGATCCAGATCGCGGCGAACATGTCCCAATTGTACCTTCGCGTGGGCCGGCCTTCTAAATGCCTGCGGATTTCGACAGCGATCCGGCGCTGGACCCCGCGCGCCACGTCGTGGACCGCTTGCTCTGGGACCA